GATGAATGATGAATGAATGAATGAATGAATGAATTGTTTTTGGGTCGGGCCAACACGTTCAACATACCGGAACCTAACCTGCTGGATGTAGATAGGGAGAGTTTGAAGAAGTTTCGGAATAATTTCATTAAGCCTATTTCTTTTAGGTCAGTTCGTGTCGCTTCTCCTCATAATCTTAACGTTCATGTTATTTTTGTCATGCCACTGGAATCATAGTTTTGTCGCTGGTGTCATCTTCATCTTCGTCGTCCTCATTATCATTACTACCTTCTCGATCATCATGATCATCATCATTACCTTTACTACCATCATCATGATCATCACTACCTTTACTATCAGCATCATGATCATCACTACCTTTACTATCATCATCATTACTATAGTGAGTACGGCCAACCAGCCAGAAAAACAACCTACTTGTCAATCAAACCAATCAACCAGCCAACCAATAAGTCAACCGACCAATCAATCAATCGCTCTACAACCACCCACCCACCCAACAAACAAACCACACATTTACACACGCACACACAACATACACACACACACGACGTACGCACACACACACACTCATTACGGAGTCATTACATCCACTCATCAAACAAACACATACACACACGCACATAACACGCACACACACAACACGCACACTCATTACAAACAAACCACACACATACACACACACATTACAGAGTCTTGAACGTGATAAGGCTCTGGGTGGACTATCATTGGTACGACTTTGAGAACAACAAGCCCTTACAGAGTCAGGTGAAGGATTTCGTGAATGAGTCATTAAGGGGTAGGGGTAAGCTTCTGATCAAATGGGTCGAGACCATTCTGAAGATTATGAATAGAAAGGTTAACAAGAGGGAGTAGTGTTTTCGTTGGTTGATCGGTTGGTTGGTTGGTTGGTTGGTTGGTTGGTTGGTTGGTTGGTTGATTGGTTGGTTGGTTGGTTAGTTGGTCGGTCGGTTGGTCGGTCGGTTGGTTGGTTGATTGGTTGGTTTATTGGTTTGTTGGTTGGTTGGATTGTTTGTTTGTTTTATTTATTATAATTTGTTTGTTTATTTTCTTAGTTATTTATTTGGTCATACGTTTGTTTGTCTGTTTTTTGTTTGTTTGTTTGTTTGCTTATTTATTTGTTTGTTCGTTTGTTTGTTCATTCATCCGTTCGTTCGTTCTTTCATCCATTTTTTCGTTCATTGTTCGTTCTTTCATCATTTCATCCATTCTTTCACTGGTTACTTTTTAATTTATGCTAATTTATGCGAAATTATGTAAATTTATGCGAATTAATTTATGTTAATACCTAGTTCTCCATGATCCCGAACGAGCCGAAGCAGATAACGTTCAGTAGGAAGCCACCAATGGCTGAATGGCACATATCAAAGATTCCTACTGATTATGATCTTATGAATGTTGGTGATGCTGATGATGATGACGGTGTTGATGATGATGTTGGTTGGTGATGATGATGATAATGATGACGTTGGTTGGTGATGATGCTGATGATGATGTTGGTGAGATGATATTACGACGGCAATTCCATGTGCTGAGAATCATATTAATATTTACTACCACATACACGACAGCCACAACAACCGCAACGGCCACAACAACCACAACAGCCACATCACTCCCACAACAGCCACAACCACAACAACCACACCCAACAAATGCAGCTCCACCCTATAGAAATCGCCCGCCAGGTAACTTTACTTGAATTTGAAATTTTCCAAAAAATTAAATCCTCCGAAATGGTGGGCGCCGTCTGGATGAAGAAGGAGAAACATCTGACGTCACCGAACCTACTCAAAATGATTCACCACACGACTAAGGTTGGTGGCGACGATGACGTCATTCATTATGCGTTGAGCGACGACGGTGACGTCATTCATTTATGATAATGAGGATGACGCCAGTGGGATGACGATGATCACGGTTATGTGAATTAGGATGGTGGATATCATATCATATCATATATCATGTAATATTATATATCACATCATATATCATGCGTTATGTCTTGTTATATCATATATCATATCGTCACAAATGATCATTGTCGTTATATTCGTACTAAAATGACTTCACCACACCACACGACACCAGTTTACATTCTGGTTGGAAAAGTGCATAGTTGAAGCCGAGAACTTTGAGGAACGTGTGGCCGTCGTCTGTCGCGTCTTGGAGCTGCTAATCGTCTTTCAGGAGCTCAACAACTTCAACGGCGTCGTTGAGGTTTGTGGTGGTGGTGGTTGTGGTGGTGGCAATGATGATAATGGATGCTGTGGAGACGATATCATCATCATTTTTAAAAAGATGTCGTCTTCATCATCATCGTCGTCATCGTCATTATCGTCAATCAATACCAGGTTTACAGCGCGCTTAATTCTGCTTCAGTTCACAGATTAGATCATACGTTTGAGGTTGGTCGGTTGGTTATCTGATCATGATTATTGCTATCATCACCTGTATCAATCAGTCAACCAATCAGTCA